TATAATTTTTTAGCAAAATAAATTTGCACAAAATTCCAATCGAAAGCAAAAATTAAACTCGCAAAATTCAAATATCTAATTTCTTGTATTGTTTCACGAAATTTCTGACATTTTTTTTCTTGCATGAAATACGAGTTATGAACTCATTTTTAAAATTTGTTGTATTACTTTACGTTATTTGTCATTTGCTTTCTCAACAAGCAGATAATAAAGTATTTGGTATGCATCTAAAAGCAGCAAATTTATTTAAAGCATGAAGCCATATGCTTTTTTTTTTGTACAAAATAATTTCTACACGTTTTCCATAAGTCACGCGCAGCCTCTACTTCTCCACCACAACACACAGTCAATCATATGCAGACGCTTAAATCGACAAAAATATTTATACGCAATTAATTTTTTTTTTAACTCGCGCCCTCATAAGTATTCATTAGAAGCATGCATATGTATATGTATATATAGGTATAAATGTACAGTTAATTATCAAATTGCTATCGCACAAAACGCTCAATCAAAGTGTAATCGATACATTGCAATGAATTTCAAATATTTTGTCGTTGCTTTTTGGCGTGTTGAAAAGGCGCTAATTAAATGTGAATTGTTGAATAAAAAAAAATATATATTGTTTTAAAGCGTTATTTTATAGTAACACTCATTTTTGAAATGGAAATACACAAAAAATAATAATAAAAAATAAAATAAAATGCTGTTATTAATTCACTTAATTGCTTTGTTTTAAGGTGATTAAAGATCATCAGTCATGCAGTTGATTGCCAATAATCCAATACGTTATGCGTATATGACTGTTTGAGTATGAATACTAAATCGTTAACGCATTTAATACATTTGACGTTTTATTAGCAAGTAATTTTCATACAATATCATCATTGAAGTTGGCAATACAGTAGCTGAAACCGTTTTGTTAAAATGTCAATGAAAAATATAATAAATGAGTGCGATATTTTTGTGTTCAATCGATGCGGTACAGCATGAAGTCAGAATGATATTATACCTTTTTTTTCATATGATTTTGGTTGTCATATTTCACATTGAAATCACTTAAAAATAAAAAAAAAAAACAATTAAATGACTTAACGTGTATTGATATTTTATAGCGTTTTCTTTTCTCGATATAAATGTTGCCTCATTATATTGCAACATTATGTAAATGTGTCATTATTTTACATGATCAAAGAACAAAAAAGAATGTCAACCAACTTATTCAACAAATTAACAAAATTAACTGATTCATTATAATTACTTAAAAGAAAAATTTAATTCAAAAAAATTATAATAACTATAAAAAACAATAAATAAATATTTCACACTTAAGTTTGAAGAACGTTAGAAAATGTTGCACTTTTTCTGGTTAGAAGGCAACATTACGCGAAAAGAACAAACGAAACTGAAAAATTCCGTGCATATAACCGCTAAAGCCATCTTGGCCTGTTGCTTTAGAGAAAATTTAAAAAAAAAACGTTTAAAATTGAAAAATTTGTTTATAGGGTTTAGAAAAGTTTAAAAATTCTGAAGGCTTACATACATTTTTCTAGTTTTATCAAATTATGCTTAGGACGTTTACTGAATAAGTTAAGGCATCAAATAAGAGCAAAAAAAAAAACTTTTATGTCTATCACAAGAATTAGATAATTTCGAAAGTACTTTAAGCTTACATAAAAGAAATTACATATCCCTTGAAGCAAAGAAAACTATATGATCGGTTTAATGATGGGCTTAAAGAGAATACTAGGCTATACAAACACCATAACTAAAAGCATTGCGTGATAAAAATTGCTATGTCAACACAATAAATATTATTAACAATATCAAATCATATTAATATTAAATCAAGAAAATAAGTTAAAGATTTCATTAGCGCACAATTCATATGTCTGCAGATGACGTATATGCATTTTCTCGTTAATAAAGCCAATTAAATTGGCAGCGAGCTAGACGATTTGTGATTTCGAAAATAATTTCGAATTTTTGATTTATGCCAAACACTTACGAGTGCATATAAAATGTTTATTGCGGCTTTTATTGCATTTAAAATTGTTTTGAAAACAAGCAGTGCCAAAGGAATCGCAACTTTTAATAGATAAATTAGCGTTGTTGCTAAATTTATGTTGCATACGCCAAAATGCCCCAGACACATAAACAAAGGAAAAAAGTACAAAAAAAAAACAACTGAAAAGAAAAAGGAAAAAAATGAAACTACCAGGAAAAAGGAAAACAATAAATATTGAAATAAGTGTATATATTTAAACTGTAAGTGCACATAAATTACAAAGCGAGCTTTTCAAACCAATTTTCCATAAGTATGCAGTGATAAATGTGTGCATGTATATATTTGTATTTGCATTGGCAAACACCGAAGTGTAAGCATACAAATTACCTACACAAATTCTATGTAAATATAATATAATATACATATATACAAAAATACAAATATATGGCTGCATGTAAGAATTTATGTTTGTAGAGTGGGTTGGGTAGCACAGCGTCCGATTGCTTTTGTGTATAAATAAATAATAAATTTAAATAATTTACAAGAAGAAAATTGCCAATAAAAGGATAGGATGAAAATCGCCAAAGAATGTATTTTAAGCTTTAGCTGCTTTGGGACAAGCAGAGGTAGGGTCGACGAGCGCAATTACACGTATGTATGCATGTATGTATGGCAAGTTATTTATGCACATAGCTGTAAATACATAAATCTATATGTAGACATGTGTGTGTGTGTGTATGCATATGTGAATATTTGCTATAATGCCTGCGCAGCCAAGTACAAATTTCTATGCGCTACTTGTAAGGAGAAATCTAAGCAAATCGCTTAGTTGCATTCAACGAAGACACAAACACATGTATACACATACAGACATACTCAAAGGCGCTTATTTATGTAGAAGCGAGTGTTTGAGTGTGCATTGCATGCATGCTATGTGCTTGTTGTTGTAACAAAAGTACAGCTACAACAAGCTAATTACAGTTTTTACACAATATAATTGGCAAAATGCCATTGAGAAGCCATGAAAACGGTGTAACAGTTGATTGTATGTATGTAAGAGTTTGTGTACACACATAGATAAATAAATTTGTATGTAGTGGTTTTAGTTTGTTTAACTAGTTGCTTTCGGTTACAAATTCAGTGAAATTGTTCAAATTCGTTCACTTTGTGAACTAGTCCCAGACTAGTTCAGTTCGTATTACTTTTATTTGAACAAATTTGGTAGTTGCGGACAAGCTGAAGCACGATACATAACTGCCACATAAATAAAAGTACAAAACTGTTTTCGAAATCGGTTCAAATGCAAAAATTCGATATTTTAGCGTACTAGTCTTTAACAAGTTCTTTAATATTAAAATAATTTGGTTCGAATTTGCTGAAAAAAAATATCACTTTTAGACTAGTTATGGTCCAGTTACTGCAAATTTGCCAATTTTATAATTATATTTTCAAACTTTTGAGCTAAATAGATTTTTATTTGCAAACAAACCGCGAACTACTCTCTAACTAGTTCCACCTGAACCTCTAATGAGTCTCAATCAATATTTGATTGAAGCAATTTTTCGTTCGAAAATTACCAGTCAACATTAAAAATATATTTGAGTCTATATATGTTTTCATCTTTATAAAATTGACGCGAAAAGTACGCGCCGTGCAGCCTAGAGTATTGGTAACAGTACAAAAAAAAAATTATTAAGTAATGTGCACACACTGTATTGGACCCTGTAAATAGACATTGAACTGTGTTAAGGTAATAAGTAAAGAAATAATAATAAGCAATGAAAATGCATACACACGGCCTTTATTGACGTAAGTGCTTTCAGAAGAGCTTAGAACACGATTAGTTAGGGTATTAAAAAGTGCGAAAAAATTGCGGAAACGACTTTATATTATAATTGTCGACATAATTTTGGATCACTTATGGTGAGGGCTTAAGGTTTTTGTTGTAATCAATTTTAAAAATTTAAAGCATATATTTTTTTTCAAAAGCAGTTCAAACTGGGCCAGGCTCTTAGTCCTAGTTGAGATTAGGTTTGTGCGCCTAAAAGTATGCTAAATGCGGCTTGAAATTCGCTTTTGAATAGATTATGAACTTAGGTGCGGGCTAAGATTAGAGCTGTTTGCCTAAAAATATACTAAATTCGACATGAAAATCAAATATGAACTGATTCTAAGTTACGATGTGATCGAGATCAGAGCTGTTCGGCGAAAAGTGTACTAAATGCGACTTGATATTCAATTTTGAACGGGTTCTAAGCAACGTTGAGAGCTTTTCGCCTGAATGTATACTAAATTCAGCTTGAAAGCTCAATTTCGAGCGAGCTTTTAACAGAGATGTTAATTACGATTAGAATTATTCATTGATGAAAATCAATATTTCTGAAAAAAAGCAATAATTTTTAAATTAAAATATAAAATAACAATAATTTTGAAATATTTCATTTCAGCTATGCAATTAGCGCTTTTTTCGAGACATTTCGGGCTATAGCGGTAAATATTTTTTAAATAGATTTGGCACTGGAAAACAACTGATGATAATTATTGGGCAAGATTTCATAGTCAAAGCATATTATAAAATATTTCACGGCACTCTATTACATTTTCAACCGAGACTACATAATTGTTTCTGCTGTTAAGTTCTTTATCTGTTGAAATTGGCAATAATTAATTAGTTGCAGTTTAACACGCAAGCAACAGATGTGAGCACGAAAAATAACGAAAATATATACCATATATACATACATATGTATGTACATTAAATATTCTGCAACGTGTAAAAATCTGTAAATTGACAAATCTGAATAACTTAAAATAAAAATAAATTGCTGCAATGCATGTAAGTTCAAAATGCTTAACATTTTTGCAATCCAAATGCATGTGAAAATTTATGTGTGAAACATAATGAAGTGGAAAAGAGATACTATAGAAAAATACAATGCTAAACACAGAAAAGGAATAATTAATGTATACCGTAGACGTAAAAGGTGACGCCAGTGACATTGGTGCGAAACAATTGGCCAACACATGTTGTAATAAGCGGCACTCTGATGCCAAGTCGGAGGCGTATAAAGCTAATCTTGACGTAAAGTAGCATATTCGCGGTGGCAAAAAATGCATATAACAGAAACCAATAAATAAAATGAGCAGCAAAATAAAAAAATTAAAAACGTTTGCACTCTTCACAAATACGAAAGATTTCATACAAACACTTGATTTTGGTCGTTCAGTTGCTCCGATCTTATAGTAATCTGATTAAAAAATTTGTTTTCGAAGTTTGCAGCATTGCTTTGAATATTAAGCCATGATAAGTTTCATGAAGATATCTCGACAAATAAAAAAGTTTTCCATACAAGCACTTGATTCCGAGCGGTCAGTTTGTATAGCGGCTATATGCTATAGTGGTGGATTTAGGTTGAAAAAAAGTGCGAAGGGAAGTTCCTATGGGTTAACAATTACAGATAGCACTATAATAAAAAAATGACGCGAGAAAGCCGTCATAGATTGATGTGAACTTTCATGAAAAAGAAATCGCGAAACACATTGACTTCAGTGAGAATCAGCGGTCTATGCTAAGTATCAGAACAGTACAAATATATCTTTTCTTTCAGAAAAACAGATAGTCAACTGAAGCTTCAAATAGTTGTAAGACCAGCTTAGTGATAAGATTAATAAATTAGGTTAATTTTCCAGTCTGAGGCTTTATGGATTCCTTCTTTTTTTTTAATGCCTTACGAGGCATTACTACTTTCGAAATGACTATTTAACAACGGTGAGGAGTATCCAGTTGACGTACTAAAAAAATAAGGAAGGGAAGAGAGCAAGAGGAAAAGAGAGCAGGAGACAAATGAGCAAGTGAAATTAAAACTTGATACTCTTATAAGCAATCTAGCTTATGAAAAATTTTACTTGATCTGGCACTCCGCGCGCTAATATTAGAACTTAAGAAGCAAAAAGCTATAATACAGTTATAATTTAAATTTAAATTTTAATCTAAATAAGAAATTTGTTTCTGGTTCAACAATTATATCAGCGTTTCGCCTCAACACCAATACCAAATTGATGGATACCGCGCAAAGTAGCTGGGAACGTAGTCATTTCCTATAAGTTTTCACACGACAAAAAACCAAAACAGCAAAAATAAAATAAAACAGAAACTTTTGAAATTTTAACAGATAACTTTTGAATGAAATTACATTGGTTTCATTTACTGTGTGAGTGCAGCCAAAAGCAATTTAAGCTTTCCTAGAACTGCTTGTGGATTTGACAAAGGCATATGGCTGAGAGGCTGAAGAATTGCAAGTTTAAGAGAGATGTAAAGACGTTGAAGATGTAGAGGAGCAGGGTAGAACAGGCCAGCAAGTTGAAAATGACATAAGAACAAAGTAGTTTAAGCAATGTTTTGTGATGCTTGACTACGACTGTTGATGTGGTGGACGAAGCGCTTTATCTGTTCACTACCAACCAGCACTCCGCCTTGACATCTTCTGGGTCTTACCACAGGCGCGACAGTTCAACTGTCAGCGCGCCGACTGGCGTACTGCCTAACCGCGCGACAACGACTGTTCCTGTCATGTTGCCCTGCCGCCGTTGGCACTGTTGCGCGAATTTTTCCCTCCGCGCTCGCGCCTTACTTCATATGCACGCTGCTGGCTGTCTGTTCTGGCAATTTGATTTTCTTTTCTCTTTTTGTAAACCGCCCAACTTACAATTCAATTCAATTCGCTGCGTTTGTCGGTCGCGCGAGGCCGCGCTGCGACTTAAGTGCGCCGCCGTCTGTCGCGCCTTACTTCCCTCCTGTATTCAACACACGCTGCCGCCTGCCGCGCATCATTCATCGGCTTTCAGCAACGAGCGCGCGCGCGCGCTGTCTTATCTTATTGTTAATTGAATTTATTCGTACACTTTGGTTAATTAGTTTCAGTCAAGTGCATATCATGACTATAGTTTTGGGTCGCTCGGCACATCTTTTTTTTTCAATTCTTTTTCTGTACTCTTTCTCACTATTTTGTTTGCTGTTGCTGCAATTTTTCAGTATTTTTCTGTGCTGCATTGTTATTGTTAGATTATTCTTGTTGTAGACTGCGCGCACCTTTTCCCCATTTAATTTTTTTCTGCGCTTTTGTGTCATTTGAACATGCAACTACTGCTGGCGCGCTGTTGAATATTCGCGCAAAGGTGTCACTCACTCACTAATTCTACAATTTGCCTGACGGTCGTCATTATTGTCGCCGTTTGTCTAATTAAAAATGCATGAGCTTTGCTGCCACTGCTTATTTTACCGCAGCGCGCGTCTCCGCAGTGCCTGCGCCGTTTGCTAACTTCTTGCAAAACTTGTTACAGCCAACAGCCGCCAAGCCAAAAAAATAAAAAAAAGAATTGTATTTTCTATTGTTAAATATATATGTACCTAGGCGCTACATATATATATGTATTTTTAGGTAGATATACGCGCCAATAAGTACATTATAATGAGCATTGTGTATCTGGGCCTTGGCAACATCTCAAAGCGCGCCTGCTGCCCCGCCTCAAGCTACATTTTGTACGAATTTGTATTTCTGGCGTTGTCTGCAAACTTTACAGTCGATTTGTTACAACAGAAAACTGTACGTCAGCCACTTTGTCTTCATTTACAGGTTTTCACTATTTTTTTTTTGTTTTTGTATTTTCGTACTTATTATTATTATTTGTTTGTTTGTTGTTGTTGCTATTTGCATTGTACCCAGCGATAATAATTTGTTATTATTGCACCTCATCTCGCGGCAGTCAGGCAAGCGGTGTGGCAAGCTGTCTGTTCTGTTTCTGTTCTTGTGAAATTCTGTTTATGAAAAAATAAAAATCGAAATAAATATTGCATGTAACTACATATGTACTTAGTGTATAAGTATACGCATATATACACATACATATTTGTAGCTTTGAAAATGCATTTGATTTTGTTGGACACTTTGCGGCGCGCAACAAAAGTGTGTAAGTAGGAAAGTATTTGCGCCAAAACGTAATAAATTGCACAACAAATGTAGGTAATCTGTACCGTAGGTGTGTATCGTATCTATTGTACATATGCACCTACTTTGCGCCAGTTGCTCATTTACTCAATCAACTAGCCGCGCACGCAACCAGGCAGCCTGTCTTCGGCCGGCTACTCATTAAGTTAGTCAAGGAAAATTTTTCTGTTATAATTAAATTAGCAAACAAGTTCAATTTTTCGCAAAGGTTTTGCAATATTGCCTACATTGCGAAATAGAAGGTACGCAATAATTGGGCTGCTAAAAATGCAAAATTCTAGACAAGAAAGTAACAGATGTACGTAAATATGTATGTATGTAGATAATGTAAGTAATTTACGTTATTGTTTGGCTGGTGCATGGTCAAATCTGCTGCAGAGCACATAGTTAAGATTTTGTAAATCAACAAAAGTTTCCATGAAAATCCAACTTTTTATAAGAAAGCCACTTCAATGGAGCTACATAGGCCGCATGGCATGACATTTTTAAGCACAGAAAAATGTTTGACGTTAGACAGCCGCGAAATTTCCAAATTCTACATAATTTTTTTCAGCTTTATAGTATATACTTATATGTACAAACGACACTGAATTTCAAATCTTTTTCTTCTAGGACATGTCAAGCAATCAGCTTAATATAAAATTATTACAAAAAGTTTCATAGTGAAAATCGCTGAATGCGAGAAATATATGTTTATGGCTCACTACCCGATACATTCACAAGCATTTTGTCGATTTTTCGGTTATTTTGACTAACTTGTGCGAGGAAAAATGCTTTGCATCTTTCACTGCTTCATCGCGATATTTCTGGTTTTAATTGATAAACTATGAGAACCAGTTTTTGAGTTTTAGACTAATATATTTGCTAATGCTATATCACAACTAACTTATTTGGGGTGCAAAAAAGTGACGCTGGTAGCACTAAGCTATCGCTGTTTGAGGCCTTAGAAGACCGTCAATGCTTTAAGTTTTCAAATACATAAGAAGTTCGGTCTGAATTTCCTTTTAGTACGACTTTTTCTGCTCTACTTGATATAAAGTAGCCGATCTTCAGAAAGATTTCTGAAGAAAGGTGTCTGGCATTGATGAAGGTGTTTCTGCTTAAAATGATCTCAAATCCAAAAACAATATTATAATTACTATAGATGAGCGCAGCTAATGATCACAGAGAAAATTTTGATTTTTGACAAAATGACGGCTTTGCAAAAAAAAAAGTAGATTTTTTTGTGAAAAAAATTTACACTTCAATTATTATCAAAAGTCTTATGCCAGTGATCATCACCTGACGGAAACTATCTAAGTTCTTATACGTCTCATCCTTCGCTTTGATTGTGTATTATTTATGTCAAGAATTATTTATTTGATATATCTTATTGGGATTGTGACAACGCTTAAGACCGCACTTCATAGCACAGCATCCACGTCATACTATTTGGTGTGAAAATCGTGAAGCAGTTGACACCCGGAGGGTGAATGCTATTAAAAACTTAACACTAATATGACTATTAGGCTAAGCCGATTTGAATGGATGTCATAGGCTTATATTGCAAGCGTTTAAATGCTACAACATAATTAGTTATGAAAAAATAAATAAGTACTTTAATGGCGCGAAAAATGCTGATGTTGCTGACAAGTTGCCGAATGAAACGGCCCAGCCCATGCAAGAGGTCGTTAGTATGTGTGTATAAAAGAGCGTGTATTTTTACCAGTTTGCGAAGCGAGGCTCACAAATAAGGTAAGATGATAGCAAACATGATAATAACAACAAAATGACAAAGACACAAAAAGGCAAAAAGACGCTACTAAACCAGTTGTGCGAGTCAGCGTTCCCGAATTGTGTCAGCAACACCCAAATCCAAAGCGAGGCTTATGGATAAAATATCGAAATAAAAATATCAAAAAGGTAGCCGAAACAAAACGAAAAATGTATTTTTCAATAAAAAAAATAAACTGAACAAAAAACATATGAAGAAAAGCAATAAAAATATGAATGGGTGAATGAATTATCATTCGATGTGGAATAGCACATGTTTTAATTAATGGACACAGACTGGTGGGTAGACTCTTCAAAATTATTAGTACAAGTGTTTTGCATATGCATATAAAAAAGTGTTATTTAATTTGCAATAAAAAACTGACTATCCATTATAAAGGTGCGGCAAGTGGACTGCGTTAAGCCCGAAGGTAAATAGTCGTGTTTGTTGTTTGTATTTGCAGTTATTAAACTTTGTTTAGCGAAATTTTTTAAATTGTTTTCAACGCTGTTGAAAATCTACAGTTCGCGGCAAATTAATTGAGTTGTGGAATATGAGATGTTAAGGAGAGAAAGAACCCTTAGAGAAATAAGAAATGCGTGCTCTGAACCAATATACAATACTACTTACTTATCTCAGTTTATATTATGCCATCAAGTGATTTTGTATGAAAATTAGTATACTATATGCATACATAGCTCCAAAAAAAAATTTTTTTTTTTTTTAATTTTCAATAAATACGTTTTTAACATAAAGCTAATGAATTTAATGCAATTTTCCACCCCACACAATTTTACGAACAAGTCATTTCATAAGAGAAACAGCAACACTAACATAACCTCAAAAATTTATATTTTGATACAGCTTATACAAGTTAGACGAAGTCATAAAGTTCTTAAAATTATTTTAGCGGCCTATAATAAATTTCTTTTTATGGCTAACAGACCTTTTTTTCAGTGGCAGAGAAAGTGATAGAGAAAGAGCGAGTAGCGAATCCGCGAAGCAATTTTCCTTGTATATATTTGAGTAGTAAAATTCTAATTCTTTATGAGACAGCGATTGAACCGATTGATTGTTGAAAGAGAGAAGCCTGAGATGAAATATTCCTATTATAGTTTTATTACAAAGAGACAGTAGCGAATCTTCGAATCAAATTCTCTAAAAAGGTTTTTTTATCTACTCAACTCCTAGTAAATTTCACGATTATATACATATATACATATGTATACATGGTAAGGAGGCTAAAGATCTAAACGAAGCCGATGCTAATTTTGATAATTCCAACAACCGGACTTAAGGATATGTACAGCTCTACTTAAGCAAGCTCATGAACAAGTTATGTTTCGGACAGTTTAATGAGTCAAGGAGGTACATACAGTTTCACAGCTACAATCTTGAGAGCAATAGAAAAGCGTCTCTCCCGTCTTTCTAGGTCAAAACAAGAATGGAAATATTAGATGAAATTGCTCATACACGTATTGTAGGTCTGATATGGCAACACCGTGCTTATATTCAAGCTTCGGCAACCGAAAAGGCAACAGAGACATGAATCTCGTGGTTACTGGGCGCTGACAGCTTTTTGCACTTTTTAGGTAGGCATTTTCTTTCCGACCAACGTAATTTTTATATAAAGTTAGCCCTTGTACACCTAATTTTTTTGGTCCATAAATCCATAAGAAATGTTGATGATCTCAGCAATATCTAAAGCTTATGCGATATTGACAAACGTGATTGGGCGACAAGTATGCGATACATTTTCATGCCAAGCACATTGTTGTCTAAATTTTTCCTCTATTTAGTAAGCTTAAAAGTCCGTCTCCAACAACACGTTTTCAATATTTTCTTTAAATCCTTGGTAATATATTTTTAGATTGAAAATTGACAGGTCAACGGTCAACTGAGATCTCATAGCTGTCAAAATCACATGTCGCGTGTCTGACATCAAATCTCAAAACGAGCAATTTAATTTCATGACGACGTAACTAAGTGGCACATCAATAATTAATTGTATAAATAAGTAATTGGCTTCGCACAATTCGATTATGTTTCGAACAGCACTGAAATGTAATCAGTCAACATTTTCGGTAGTTATGACTTGAAAGAAAAAGTACGCAATATCTACATCAATAATAATCGCATACAAATATATTTATGTGTATTTTAGCAACACATATATTCCAAATCCTTAAATGAAGTTTGAGGTAACAAAATGCTAGATATTTCAAAAAATATTTGGATATTGTGTAACTCTTTGCTTCCCATTACTAGAAAACAAACTACTACTTCCAACATTTCATATTTCTTTTATATTTTCTATTTGTGGAAAGTAGAAAAATCTTCTTGTAATGTCTGGGAAATTTTAATTAACCCTACCACGTAGTTGTCATTAGCGCAGATTTGAGTAAATTTTATTTGCAACATGATGTGCAAATGTACAAGTATTTCGAAATGACATTTGCAACACACAACGACAGGTGTAATGGCTGGCTTGCTGACGGCATAAAGTGGACATGACGCAAAATTTATGCGGTCCGATCGATTTATGGTCGACTGCGACGAAATGCCGAAGTTGCAGTAAAAAAATTAATTTTTGCAAACAAAAACATATGAAAAAACAAAACTAGAAAACAAAATTCAAACCTAGAATAAAAATTGGTTGCTTTACCAGTTGAGCAGCAGAAAAAGTAATCTCAAAATGTAATTTTTACAAGGCATCGTCGGCCATCATCGACGACGCGCCAAATATATGTATATGCTCGCCTGTGCCCATAGCCATATATCTTCCCTCCTTATATATATTAAGTATACCCTTCTGCGCTGCCGTTTGCATCGTAATATTGTCGACAAAACGTCAACGACATCGACCGCTGCAATTGCATTTAGCTGCCGAACATACAACATGCAGTTCTTTGCACAAAACTACAAGTATCTACAGACATACGTACGGTGAGGGCCTAAGAATAATTGTGTTTTTGGCAGCCACTCAAGTTATGTGCAGCGCGAGGACGCAAATAATTCAACTAATACATAGATAAACCCTATTTTCATTAGATAGAGCGTAGATAATAAATACATTTGTACAATAACTGACCAATGGCTGATGGGAGACCCTGTAGGAAATATTTGAGTGTGTTTGAAAATTCGCTTGCAAAAGTTTTTCTGAACGGATGAAGTCGTAGACAAGAAAAAGCGTTAACTTCGGTTGTACCGCAACTACAACACGCTACACTAATACAAGTTATTCCTACCAGAAACGTGATTTTGATCAGTCAGTTTGTATAACAGGTACATACATGCTATAAATATGCTATAGTGATCCGATCCGATCAATTCCTTCAAAGATTGCCCCGTTGCCGTGGAAAATAATACATACCTAATTTCGTGAAGATATCTCTATAAATACAAAAGTTTTCTATTCTTGGGGAGAAAATGACGTGTGAAAAATTTCAAATCGATATCTCAAAAACTGAGGGACTAATTTGCGTATAGGTATATAGACAGACGGGCTAAATCTAGATCCTTTATAGATATATTTTAGTATGCGGTTATTATTTATGAATTTAAAATAATACATATATGCGAAATTTATGTGTTCATCGAATTATCACTTTGACTTCGAAACAAAACTCAATCAGTTACTTCAAGATATCTTCGCTGGCCTTGCCTTCAAAGTAAAAAAAAAAACACTTTAACAATTTTTTAACAGCAAAGAAGGAAATTTTCCTACAGGCTTCATGACATGTCTGTATGGCTGTAAGTACTTTGGATGCAAGTCTAGAAAATATATACAAAAATATGTTCTTTGCTATCATTGATCATTTTAAGGCATTTCGGATGCATTAATCTAAATAAATCGTTCATAGCAAATTTAATGAAAATAAATGGCATTAGTCTGGGAGAGAAGAGAAGAAAGTTGAAAGAACTATGAACGATGAAATTTTAAAACTAAAGTGTCATAACATTTTTTAAGAACTGTAAATGTAAATGATTAAATAAATAAAATGGTTTTTAAAAATTATTAGACTTATTAAATTTATACACCGCGCACTTTTCAGATAATTTTTTTCGACTTTTTAGTTGCTGAGAACGATTTCTAAAGTGCGAGCATAGAAAAATTCCACTTTTACAACATTTTCTAAGCGTTGTTAGTAACTGAAAAAGCTTAAGTACTGGCGTTCATTACTTTGTCTATCTATTCATGAACAAAGCAAACAGGAAAAGGAATTTAACCTCAAATAAGGTTTTACATAGCATGGATAAGAACCTAACCTAAAAATCAGATTTTATTGACAGGAGTTTTGCTGAGGTTTTTAGCTGTTCTGGTCATTTTGATTTCAGAGATGCACCACGATCTAGAGACACAACTGTCGAAAGTATCGACCGCAAAAAAAGTGGACATTGTCGAGTTCAACCTTCTGCTGATGTATCATGTAAGCACCATTTCGATTGTTCAAAAACTAAACATAGCACAAAAAATCGTTTTTAACTATTTAATTACGGTTGAATAATAAAAGAAACTCGATGTATGGGTGCTATACGAGTTAATGCAAAAAAAAGCCTCATGGACGAAATTTTCATCTGCGCACCGTAACAAAATCGATCGATTTCTGATAACATATGCGATAACTCCGTGAGTTTGGTTGGAAGGTTCTGATGCAGCCACCTTACAGTCTGCACCGGGGCATTAAGTGATTACTACTTGTTGCTGACTATGTCGAAAGATTGTGATTTTGTTTGAATTTTCTGGTGAAAATTTCGCTTCAAGCGAAGCTTGTGAAAATCAACTGTCTTAGTTTTTTTTTGCCAATAGAGGGATTTCTTTTTACTAAATCTTAGATGTGAGAGTGAGTTATACGCACACGGAACTCTAAAGCTGTAAAATAATTATTTATATTATGTTTACCTGCCGTTATACACTTCAGCAGCTTTCTAAATTAACTTCAGCAACGATTGGTAATCTCGATTACCAACGAACAACCTTCACAATATTTTCTAGCTCACTTAACATTTGAGAAATGCAATTTAATTAGATACTTAGCTTGTGCAAATATGTACTTATGAGTGTTTATGGCTGTTAGTACAATAGTTATATGTATGTATTTATATATTTATTGACGTTTGTATGCCTGTACATATATGCAGTTACATAGATTTGAGCTTTTCAGCAGACTTACCTTGCCTTGCATTATCAGCCTTATTGTTAATGTGACTGATTCGTCGGTTTTCATTGGCGTACTTGTGTTATTGTCTTCCATATTTGTTGTTATTTTTGTAGTTGCTGTTATTTTTGTAGTTGTTGTTATTGTTGGTTACCTGCTTGCTGCGGTATTTGCGGTTGTAATTTTGCTATGATTTACTATGGTTTTTTATGTTTCTTCACTCAATTTCGCTCGCTGCAAACACACTAGCGAATTTCACTGCTACACTCACACACACATATGTAGATACTACTAGCTTTTCTTTAGCGGTTGTGTGAGAGAGCGGTGTGTGTGTGTATGTGATTTTTTTATTATTGAGATTTCCGTTTTTAAGTTAGTTAGTTACTTACGCTGATTTCTTACTTTTTACAACTTTCTTGTTGTTGTTTAATTTTATTTTTTTTTGCTTATTTCCTTTTTTTTCTGTATTTTCTGCACTTCACTTTAGCTTTTAGTAAACTTTTAATGTACTTGCTGTGATTTTATTCTGAATACCTGGAATTTATATAAAAAATTATTGGCTTTTTGTTAATTAAAATTGATTTACTTTTATTTCTGTATGTATATATTTATATACGCGCATATACGTTTGTATGTTCATACATCGTTTATACATCGGTTACCGATCTAAAAACAATAAAAAGAAGTTAATTAGTTAATGCTTTTATTAATTAGTGGTGTCTTTCAGCGTTTGCTTGCCAAGCGTCCTAGCGCACAGACAAAAAATTTGAAGAGTGCTTGTATTTGCGGTTGTGTGTGTGCATGCTTTCATTTGACTTATGCTGAATTGACTGTTTGAGCTTTATTTATTTATTTTTTTGTTTTTTATAACCTAAATAAGCCACGAAGTGACTAGCAGCCTGAACGTCGAAGACCATAAAAATTATATATATATATATATATATAAATCAGCTTGACGAGCTGAGTCGATTAAGCCATAATCGTCCGTCTGTCTGTATATACGCGTACCAGCCCCTCAGTTTTTGAGATATCGATGTGAAATTTTGCAAACGTCCTTTTCTCCCCAAGAAGCTACTCATTTGTCGGAACCGTCGATATCGAAACACTATATCATATAGCTACCATACAAACTGAACGATCACTATCAAGTGTTTGTATGGAAAACTTTTTCATTTGACGAGATATCTTTTGGAAATTTGGCACGGACTATTGTCCCAGAGAAAGATGCAATTTTCGAAGAAATGGTTCAGCTCGGATCATTATAGCATATAGCTGTCATCCAATCTTAACGATCGAAATCAAGTGCTAATATGGAACACTTTTCTATTTGATGAGATATCTTCAGAAAATTTGAGATGGACTACTCTATACGACAACGGTGTAATCTCCGAAGAAATTATTCAGATCCGGTCACTATAGCATATAGCTGCCCTAAAAACTGATTGCTCAATATCAAGCTCCTGTAAGGAATATTTTGTATTTGTAAAGGGTATCAAAGCTTCGGTGCAGCAGAAGTTAAAATGTTTTCTTGTTTTTATTTTTCTGATTTTTTTAAACTTTTATATTTACTTCCACTTTAAATTGCTTGATAATTATTAACTTAAAAAATGCACATTATTAATCACTTCGTACGCTTTTTATTTGCTTTATTGTTATTGTTATAGCTGTTGTTGTTGCTTTTCACTACGCTTTTGTGTGTTGTTGTTGCTTTTCACTACACTTTTGTTTGTTGTTGTATATTTTTTATTGCTTTTATTTTACTTTTCTATTTATTTAATGGTCAATTGATTAGTCGGTTGGCAGCGCGCTCGCCCGTTCGCTCGCTTGTGGTTGATTGAACTTGGAGGGGCGCAACATTAAGAAAAAAAGAAACAAAAGTACAATAAAAAGCGTTTTGCTACACTTTGCCGGCTTGCGGGCGTTATCAGTTAATCATTAAGCGTAGAAGCTCAGTTTCGCTTTTTTCTTTTGTTAATTTGAACTTGCTGTTGTTGTTGTTGTTGTGGTGTGTTATTGCATGCTGAAGCCACAATTTTATTGCTCAGTGCGATTCCTGCTGTAGTCTCCTACTACAACCACGACTACCGACTGACTCCGCTTGCAGTCGGAATAAATGTGTTAGGAAAACAACGCTGTGTTGTTTGTGTTTGTATTGAGTTTTGTGTGCGGTTGAGCGCGCGTCAATTTACACAAACGCACAAAGGCACACAGAGCAGGCGACGACGATGACTTCGAGTGCTGCGAGCGTATGACCGTGAGGAACGCCGCGAGAAATGCTTCTAAAATCCTGCAACAAAGAAATGTCAGTTAGACACCGACTCATTAGTGATAATTAATTACTAATAACAAATAGAAATATATATATATATATGTATATACATATGTTATATATGGGCATATGTCTGTGTGTGCAAATACTGTCAAATGTCAACTATGAACAGATTAATTTTTGTTCTAAATAAATATGAGAAAAAGTAGCAGCTTAAGCGCTGAGTGCCGGGGGGTAAACGTTTCGTGTAAAAGGTCGTTTGTAATTTGGCAAAGCACAAACAGACACACACACAAACAAGCACAGCCACAAAACACACACAACCACACAGAGAAAATCACACTCATGCACACTTACACTCGTCCGTTGCGATTTTGGGGAAATGCTTTCGGCGGCATTTGTCGTCGCTGTTTTGGCACATAATTAATTTAAGCACACTGTAAACATGTTCTGGGCATTAGTAGCTAGCTAAATGTTTGTTGTTGTTGCTGCAGTTAGTTAGCAAGGAAATGACCAAATCGCCTTGAATTGGCGAATACTTCCGGCATATCAAAGGAAATTTTATAAAAGAGAGATTAGCACAAAATTGATGTGGAGATAAAACGAAAAATATTTATACCTACATATATGTATGTGTGTAATAGGTATAAGCAAATAAATACAAGCTAGAAATATATCTATAACTATATATGTATGGTATATATAATAAATTCTTTCAACCATTGCTGTGACGCCATTCTTATATAATAAATCTCTCTCAAACTTAATTTATACGTAGAAATTCGAAATAATTCGTGCTTTTAGAGACTAAATCTGTGTATAGCTGTGACTTAGGTTACTCAAGAGTATTCATCTGTATGCTTTTGTTACTTAAAGTAGCATACAGCTTAATTCATTAATTTTTTTTAGTTACGGAGCGCACCCTGCGTGAAATTTTGAAAAAATATTTTTGTTTTATTTTTTTTGCATATCTCAATAGCCTTTACTTTTAGAAATACCTTATTAAAAATTTAAATTTATATCTTAAATGTATTTTGAGTTGCAGGCTTCTGAAATAAAGCCGCTCAGTTCAAGCAGCTCTATCAGTTTAAATTTAAACGCCTTTTTTTCAAAATTACATTTTCGAATTTGCTGCAGTGATTACTCGGAGACAAATGATACGATCATTGTAAATTTTTTTCTGCATGTTCTCTATACCATATTCCCATACTATACCTAGTTCCCCATACCATTAAATCAGAAGTTTTTTGATCAAATCAAAAATAGAGTTTTGGCAGGCCAAAAAAAAACCATAACTTTGGGTAAAATACAATTTTTTCAAACGCCGCCATTTTGTCAACTTTTGATTTTTTTCTCGACTGCATGTCATTAAATGGACAATATCTTTCAACGAGAAATTTTTTTTATGTCCCAAACTGTGAAAGGCCGGCATCACAACAGCAGTTTAGAACGTTTTTCTTTAGCGCCGTCGGAGATCACATGTTTTTAATTTTTCAACAAATTTTGCGAAATTTTTGTTTAAATAGTATGTATAAATGTACCCTTAAAAACTATTGTCGTTTTTAGGCTGTCACACTAAGTGTGATTCTGAATTTTTTAATAGCGTCTATTTACAAGACAACTGAACTTATATGCAACTAAAATAAATTCAACAATATTTATTTTTGCTGAAATTTTCCTGCTTTGAATTGTAATTTTTTTACTTTGAAATTATTTGTGAGGACTAACTTTCTGAACTAGTTTCTATCGATTGCGCTTTTGTTTTAAAAACATGGTTTTTTGATTTATTTGCTCTAAAAATTCCTATGTAAGTCGCATCGCAAAAAAATATTTAGAAAATTTGTTTCCAATTTTTCGCACTGGTTTTTAACTAAAGCACCGTTATTTGATCAAAATAGGAAAAATAAATTATACAAATATTTGTTAATTCTTAAGTGTTTTAATATTTTTAACAAATTTAAGCAACTGATGAAATGACTGCTTACCAAATCAAAATTTATCAATCATGGGGACAATTCTGACTTTTGTTGAGTACTGAGCTCAATACTAGAATAACGGTAAATAATTATATATATAACATAAGTGTTATTTAATTTCAAGAATTTTACTTTTTATCCTAACTCTGACCTTCTTCTCAGATAAAAATGTATGAAGCAATATTTTAAAAGGTTCTCAAGACTATTTTGACGAAAAAATCACTCTGGAGCTGACTAAAATTTTAGCAAAAACAATGTTTCCTTCTCTTTGAACGTGGTACATAATAGTAAATTCATATCCTGTCATTAACTAAGTAATGCAAATGTGTACATAAAACTCTATGATGAAAAGAAATATCATTAAAAGAAACATCGACGCTTGCTTTCTCACTTCCTGACGTTAATGCACTACAAAGTAAGTACTCGAAAACATACTGTACTCTCTATGAATAGACTAAAGGAATGCAAATGTTAGTGAAAAAAAGGAAAGGAAGGTGAATGCAGAATAACAGTATTAACAACAGAAGATATATCAAATGGAATTATTTTTTAGATGAAGAGCAAAACCTGCGAAAAAGAGAGAGAGGGAGAGTGGTAGTGATACAGAGGAAGGGAGAGTGAAAGAGAGGAAGGGAGGGAGGTAGGCAGAGCTATATAGGGGGAGAGGCAGAGAGAGAGAGAGAGAAACAAAAGAAAATGCATACGCGAAAATTAAATACGAAAAATAAAGAATGAATGAAAAATGTGTGAGGAAAAAAATTATAAAAAAGAAAAACAATGAAAAGAAAAAATAAATAAAAGAAATAAATCAAAAAAGAAAAAATAAATAAAATAAAAATATATAAAAATAAATAAAATACAACAAAATAAAACTAAATATAACTCGGAAAAAACAAAACAAAAGTAATTTAAAAAAAAGTTGATACAAAATAAAAACTGAGATAAAACCACAAAAAGTACTTTGTAAAAAAATCAGCTAAGGAATTTCAAGCTGTAAATTCAAATGAAATGAAATTAACGCAATGCATTAAGGACTTAAGTACACACATATTGTATTTGTTGTTGTACATACTTTTTGTGTCGATTGTTTGTGGTTCGCCGAGGCGGAATCTCAGACGCGCACAAATAAATGCCGGTTCGCCATTAAAAAATGCATTTCGGCGGCAAACAGCATCGATGGCAGCGAATTATTCGCACGAAAAAATATACAAACACGCAAGTTGCAAGCAGGATGGCTGCCGTAAGCAATGGCGACATATATAAATATATCTGCGTAAAATAAGTGCAGAGAAAAGTTCCCTGCGTTTGCTTGTTGATAATGTTATAAAATTTTCACATATAACTTAACTGCGACGACTCATTACATGCCACTCTTTCACAAGCACTTGCAATTACAGAAAAATAAGTGAGTAAAGCATACATAATGACATATGTATTTACAGCAATCGCCAAAAAACACGCACATCTGTTTATTTGCAGACAAAATAATTTACAAAAATGTAAACTTTTTTCGCAAAGCAAGTCGGCGTAGCGAAAAAATATGTGGTTATGAAGAGGAAACAACAAAAAAAAAATTTAAAAATATATATAAAAAAAAAATTTAAAAAAAGAACTTTATTCGGTCAGTTTGGATGACAGCTATAAGCTAGAATGATCTGATCTGAACAATATGTGCTGAAATTGCAGCTAAGCCTTGGATTATAACCCATATAAAATTTCATGAAGCTACCTTGACAAATCAAAGAGTTTTACATAAAAGGACTTAATTTCCATCGCTCAATTTGATAAAAGCTACATATATGCTAAAGGGGTTCGATCTGAATAATTTCGTCGGAGATTGCGCCGTTGACAATAATGCCTGCCAAATTTCGTGAAGATATTGTATCTCGTCAAATACAAAAGTTTTCCATATAAGCACTTGACTTCGATCGTTCAGCTTATATACAGCTACTATATGCTATAGTGGTCTGATATCGGCGATTCCGACAAATGAGGGGAGAAAAGACAGTGCAAAATTTCAGGTCAATGGCTATATCGACACAGCTCGTCATGCCGATCATTTATATATGTATGTATTTTATAGGTTCTTCGACGTTTTCTCCTAGATGTTACAAACTTCGTGCTAAACTTAATATACCCTGTTCTGCGTATACAAAACACGTAAAAGAAAATAATAAAAAAGTGGTTAAATTATAATAAATTGAAGGCTTAAAAAAGATAAAAATGTAGAGAAAAAAATTAAAATAAGAATGATTTATAATCAATTAAAAAAATTTTAAATCTTAGAAAAAAAATACAAAATTAATAATAAAAAAATTGGAAAAAATAAAAATAATGTGATGGCAACCATGCATTACACTTGCTAAAAATCTGTTGACTTAACTTTCTTTGGCGTACATTACACCATCATCACTTATGCTGTTACCGCAGGCACTGTTGCTGTCGCTGCGCTGCCACCACTTTACATTGTTATCAATAAACGAAAAGTACGTGTGTGAGTATGTTGTTGTTGTTATATTAATAAAATTTTACATACAACTTGCATTAAAATGAAGCCATGGCAAATTAAATCACAAACAGCGTTGAATTAACGCACTCAGACGATGACACTACAGACAAGTGCCGCGAGACGCAGCGGATTAATGTGCTTTTGAGTGGCCGTAAAGAATAATTCATTACACTGCTTGCTATAATATGTAGTTAGTTTGTTGGTGGTGTGGTTTATTGCTGAAATTTGTTTTTGTTGGGAGCTCGAATAGAGTAAATGCACACAAGATGCTGGATTTTAGTGAAGATCGGTGTTGCCAGCCTGTGAAATTTAACACAAATATCGAAGACAGATTTTTTAAATTTGTTTGCATTTGTTTTGAAATATTTGTTTGAATTCTATTGACCAATAAAAGATCATTTTAGCTTATAGTACCGTTAGTACTTTAAGGAGAGAGAGAGAGAGAGAAACGAAAACGGATTGTAACTCAAGAGAGAAATCAGCGAATATCAGTATATGAAAATAAAGGCCGAAACGGCAACTGACTGAATATGTAGTCTATATACTCTATATATAAAGGCGCAGACGTCTAAGTTTATTAACTATAAGTTAATTGACTTTTTGTCCTAAATGAGATCCTCTTTTGAGATCTTCTATATATTAAGATTTATCAATCCCGGCAACTAATTTAGTTTGTCGTCGTACATTGGGGCGACCCCCTAAAGTACCATTCAATTGTGTGTCTTTCTGAAGATCGGCTATGGCATCAAGGTCATTCAAAATGAATTGCCGATTATACATGTACATTAAATTCTGTAATGTAGATTTTTTGCTATTCATTCATTAAATAAAATTGTTCGTTAAAAAACTCACCGAAGAAAAAACTTCAACAAGGTCTTACAAGTTTAAAATCAAGAAAAAAATTCATAAGAAAGGCAATACCACCATTTTGAGAATCAGCTAGTGAAGCTAACCTGAGGCCAATACAATTGAGGATATAAGCAGTCTGTAGAACCATTACGAATCTTTTCTTTGTCTCGACGCTCAAGATCTGTACTAATTAAATGGTACTAGTTAACCAAAATACTAGAGTTTAACTGTTTGTAAAAATATTTCACAGCAAACTCTGTGAACGAAAGCCAAGCTTTTCGGAATGTAGAGTTTAAAAAGCTTGGTAGTTCATATTACTAATAACTGATTGATTATTAAAAGCAAAAAATCTGAAGATCTCGATAAGTTGAAAAATCCTCCCTTTTCGACTTGTTTCATGCAATAAATTATATTTCAAAGCGCATATACTTTAAATATTAAATGCAACACCCTGTTATAATTTCACAAATTCAGCATGACTGAGTTAAAGTTTATTTTTATTTCGTTACAAAACTTTTGTAAGATCAAAAAGCCTTGATTTAATTCGAAAAACAAATCACTAATATTTGCATAATGAAATATTCTAATGAATAGCTATGAAAAGCTTCAGTTCATTTGATTTTATAACTCAAATTTACAATTTCTAAGACGCCTGAGCGAGCGCTCACTTGAAAACAATCAGTCATATTTCATTTCAATAATAACTGTATTAAGCGCAAGCTTTTTGCTATAGTTAAATTTTCTATACAAAATAACGACAAGAACAACAATAATAAACAATAACTGCAACAAGAAAATAACAATTACAACAACAATAATAAACAATAGTAAAAAATTACTATAACAACAAAAATGATTACAAAATGTCAACAGTTAGATGACAGCAAGAAATAAGTTTGAACGTCAAAGACGATACAATTTGCTTGGTGTATGTGTTTGTGTGTGTGTTTTGGTGAAGACGGCAGCAAAGAGGCCAAAGAGCTTTTGAAGTTTCAAAATCAATTTGGTAGATTAAAAAGTCGAATGCACATACATATGTATGTATGTGTTTAGCGAAGGTAAGGCAAAAGCAGCGGAGCAGCTTAAAAATATTATAAAGTATCTATGTATATGAGAGCAAAGGCAGATATAGTCACAGTTATATGACAATAACTACGATTCGGGTAAAAATATGTAGCAGCAACAACGAAAAACGAAAAAATTAAAAACTACAAACAAAAAAAACAACAACAAAAAACAAAAACAACAAAATATTGTAAAATGCAACAAAACCAAAAAATATCGAAATTTTACAAAAACAATAAAAGAATAAAATTACAACAACAATAAAAATGCAAAAAAAAAGCAAGAAATAAAACACAACAATTTACTACTGCAAAGGAAAACAACAACAACAACAAAAGAAGATGCAACTGAAAGAAGAGATAAAAAACAGCAAAAATTTACAACAAAAAACAACAATAATAAAACAAATGCAACAAAAATAAAAACACTCAAAAACGAAGTAATCAGCAAACAACTAGATAAAAAGTCCACAGTACACAAACAAGCTGACATAGGTACAACAAATAAAAATACAAATGTATCAATGTATTATATGTACATATGTGTTTACATGTATATTTGAGTAGATGCAAAGATATTGTAACTGAAAACTTGTCATAACTGCAGCAGCTGCAGCTGCAATATAGAATTTGAAGTCTCTTATTTGTGTGTTGTTGTTGTTGCAGTTATTTATTCTTTTAATAATGCCACATTTTCGCTTTGTTGTTGTTGCAGTCATGAAGTTTCTTGATTTCAGTGAATGCACAAATATGATACACTTGTCGTGGACGCAGCTTGGCAGCGAGTATTTTTTTCCGTTACTTTGCAATTTGCATATAAATACGATATATGTACACAGTTTTGTTGTTGTTGGCGTTGTTGCCGCGCACAGTCAGTGCTGTAGCATATTCAGCATCACTGAATATTCATAAAAGATGTCATGTACACAAAACTTATTGTAACTATGTAGGTATGTATGTATGAGTGGATGTGTGTGGATACAAATGATGGCAAGGTGGCGCGGAGATGAGCCAAAGAGAATAGTACTGGCAGCGGTGAGAACCTTATTGCAAGTATGATATCAATGACATTGCAAGCAACACACACACACACACACACACGCTAAGGGCAAGTAGTAGGTGTATATATGTATGTAGGTATATGTGTGTGTGACGAGTGCAACACTTTGAGCTGCAGACTGTGTGCATGTATACGCGAAGAAATTGCAATAAAAGTCACGTCTTTGATTTACTTACTAGATTTCATTTCAATAATATCAAAACACAAAAACAAGAGCAATATAACACAAGCACGAAACTAGTAGAGTGATATATACAAATACTACAACAAGAATACATATTTAATCGGGTCCGTACCAGCGGCGTGCGACTTGTCACACGCTGTCATACATAATAGTTAACGACAAAAGCAACAAAAAATTAATAATAACAACAACAACAAATAAAGCAGAAATAATAGTAAGTGCATATTAGGTTTCCAGATTTGAAAAAATATGTGGATTAGTCTGGAAATTGCTGTTTAATCTATGCATGAGACATATTTTTTAAATGCATTACAGTTGCAGACAAAAGTATACGGCATTTCGTTGCTTAATTGATTTTTGCAAACAAATTTTTTGTAATAATTTTTTTTTCAATAATAAAAAAAAAAAATATTTTCAAACATTTTAAAAAACACACGATTAAAATATTTCTAAATAACTAAAACAATAATGTTATTATAATTAATTGTAAATTAACTGAATTAATTAAAATCGCTCAGTCTATAAATAAAACAAAAATACAAAAAAATTATGAAAATATATACAACAAATTAAAATAAATATAAAAACTTAAAAAAAATATAAAAATAATATATGAACATAAAATAAAATAAAAAGGCTAAGTATAAAAACAATTAAAAATAAAACAGAAATAAAAAATGCAAGGCTCCAAAAAAAAAACTGAAATGCAGAGAGAAATTTTCAATTATTATTATTTTAATTTTATTACAAAAAATATGTTTTCCATCTTAAATAACATGAAATAATGCAAAGCTAAAGTGAAAAATATTATAGGTATGACACAACCTTTTACAACTATAAACATTATAAAAAAAATTAAAAATAAAAAATTAAGAAAATTAAAAATTATAAAATTAAAAATTAAAAAAAAAAATAAAAAAAA